CTCTCTCTCTCTCTCTCTCTCTCTCTCTCTCTCTCTCTCTCTCTCTCTCTCTCTCTCTCTCTCTCTCTCTCTCTCTCTCTCTCTCTCTCTCTCTCTCTCTCTCTCTCACACACACACACACACACACACACACACACACACACACCACACACACACACACACACACACACACACACACACACACACACACACACACACACACACACACACACACACACCTCTTTCTCTCTGTCTCATTACCTTTCTTTGTCTACCTTTCTCTTTATACTTTGTCTTTATCTACGTTCATCTTTCTTCTTTTGTCCGTGTCGTAATTTTGTCTTCGCCTCATTTATGTTTGCTAATCCCTCTTCACTCTCTCTCTCTCTCCCCCCCCCCCCCGTTTCTCAATTTGTTCGTCGTTGTCATCTTCATCATCGTCTTCGTCTTCATTATCATTATCATCGGCATTATCATTGTCATTGTCACTGTCATTTTTATTATTATTATTATTATTATTATTATTATTATTATTATTATTATTATTATTATTATTATTATAAATTATTATTATTATTATTATTATTATTATTATTATTATTATTGGCATTAACATCATCATTACTATTATTGTTGTTGTTATTATTGTTATAATGATTATCATTGTTTTTGTTATTATTATTATGAAGATGATAATGATTGTTTTTGTTGTCATAATTGCTGTTATTATTATTGGTGTTATTGTTATTATTGTTATTTTTATCATCATCATCATAAGAACGACTACCTTTATGATCATCATTACTAGCATTATTATTATTATTGTTATTACTGTTATTATTATTATGATAATGATCATCAACTTCATGAATATTGTTATTATTATTATTATTGTTATTATTGTTATTATGATAGTTGTTACTATTGTTAATGTTATTATTATTTATCATTAACATTATATTTTGTTATTGTTATTATTATTATTATTGTTATTGTTATTGTGGTTATTATTATTGTTTTTATTATTGTATATTATTATTATTATTAGTAGTAGTAGTAGTATTATTGGTATCAGTCTTTATTTATTTATTTTTTATTATTATTACTATTGTTGTTTTGTTGTTGTTATTATTGTTATGATGATGGGTTTGATAATATTGATACTATTAATGAAGTTACTAAAAGTAATTGTGATTTTAATTTTTTTATTATTGCTGTGGTCATTGTTGTTTCCATTATTGTAATAGTTATTACATTTTCTCTTGTTGAGATGATGATTGTTGTTGTTGTTTTGGTTATTTTTGCTGCTGTCATTGTTGTTTTTGATACGTGTGATTCCTTTATTTATTATTGTATTCTATTATTATTGCAGGCATCCTAGTAGTAATAGTAATAGTAGCAGTATTATTTTTGTCATTATTATTATGAAAATTGCAACCTTTTCTGTTGTCATCATTCTTATGATCATTATCTTTATCTTTGTTGTTTTCTCTTTCAAGTTCATCATCCCCTTTATCATTTTTATTATTTTCATGACTTTTGTAGGAGATAATGATGAGTATTTCATTAATTGCTTTCATTCATTTTATTATGTGATCCCAACCCATAGTATAAGGAAACTTATTCATGTGCTTGTTCCCTGCTGCTTTTTACCATGGAGCTAAGAAAACGACATCTTTCCTTTCGCAGCGAACAAGAATTGGCTCCATCCCCCAGAGGCTCTGCAGAAAGGTCACATTGCCTATCTTGTCAAGGTCAGTTTATTTGCACCCTAGCATTATCACACACGTCTCTGTTCTGGGATAACGTTGCGTGTTGCATAGTGATCGGGTACTTGTCTGGCATTCTGTATCATCTTCAGTTAACTTTTTTGCATTTTTGATTTTTTCTTTTAACCTCTTTTTCTGTTTTTCTCTCTTTGTAATTGAGATTTAGGTTTATTGTTTTTCATTTTAAGGTTTGTGCTCTCAGGTATGTAATTTTTGTGTGCTTGATGTTAGTTAGTTATTTATTCTTCTTTTATACTCTTGCAGCTATGATTAGAATATATAATTTCTAAGAGTGATATATAAGTAATTGTGGATGTTGTGTTGCAGTCATGTAGTTGATTGTATGCTGTGTTTTTAAATATTCTCATTTTGCATTTATAATAAGTGCCTAAGAACTTGTACAAATGCTTGGGTATTGTTATTTGAAAGTATACTCATTATAGTTATATAATGATGCTATTATTATTTTTAAAAAATTTCTTGCTATTTCTATTATATAGATGTCTTGTAGGAGTAACATTCATTGATAAATATAAGTAGAATGGTTTAAAAAAAGATTTCCAGCGAACTGTTAACACAGTGTCATTCATAATGTTGACTTTGCAGTTCCTTGGGAGCACAGAGGTGGATCAGCCCAAGGGAATTGAAGTAGTTAAGGAGGGCATAAGAAAATTGAAATTCAATCAGCAACTGAAGAAGGCCGAAGGCAGTAAGACGCCCAAAGTAGAGCTCACAGTATCCATCGATGGCGT